TGTAAAAAATTCGCTGTACCTAAACTTTATTGACTGACTGTATATGTATTTGAATCTTTTCTGAACTCAATATAACGTATGTTTAAAGTTACATGCTCGCTCTATCGAACACTGGGCATGACTCAGGGTTGTAAAACCTACTGGAGTTTATATAGGTCTTAGTTAGCATGTTGAAGGAGGCACAGGCTGAGCGGGACTATTTGAGTGACCATATAATTTGTTGGTTTAATCATATTTTTTAAAGTCCTTTTAAAAAAATCTTGACGGCAAAGAGAAAAACAAGAACTTGCCCATAGCTTCGTGAGTATATTGATTGTTTCATGTGTTTTTAATTTTCGGGCATTATAGTAAACTAATTGCAAAAGTAGGGAATAAGATAACCTATTTTTCCTATATTTCACGTACTTTCATAATTTATTGGCTGTGCGCGGTCACTAAATCGTATCCGATTGCAAACAAAATTTTATACTCGAAGTATTAAGGAAACATTCCTGCCCGGCGGTTTAAAAGTCATTTTAAAGGGCCAGTCTATGGGCAGATGGACCGTGGAGGTATTACGATAAGAAAAGGTGGGTCGCCAGTTGGAAAAGTTGGGAATCGCTGATATAGTACATACTTCGTTGAGAATATTTTGTTGATATGACGCATGGCTGCTTGCTTGTTTTTTCCTCTTTTTATAGGCCTTAAATCAGCGAACGTATATAAATGAGAAGGCGCATTTCCGCAGACCGTTTTTGTTTTTCAGAAATTTTGAGTTGTCGACGATGAAAGTCACCACTCGTCGACGGAATGCCAGCGGCCACCACAGCATGAACTCTCAATTCCACCACAAGCTAAGACGAAATTGACCAGAGCGAAAAGTAAAAGGCAAATTAAAAACGAAAATGAAAAGACAAGCAAAATACTGATACTGAGCACTAGGCAGAGGGGATGCTCGCGAGGGCAAAGGTGTGCTGGCGTCAGATCAAAACAAAAAAATAAAAAAATAAAAATGGAAGTCAGAACCACAGTATAGACAGTAACCAACCTTTTTGGGTTGTTGTTGTAGTAGTCGTTGTTTTTTTAGCTATATTCACCCATGAGGAAGGCACTGGGTTGTGTGCTGCTATTTAATGGCCTTCCCTGGACTTTTCTTAGATTTCAGGGTTGTGTGCTGCATTATTTTATTTTTTTATTAGATAAATAAATTTAAGCATTTGACAAATCGTGATTTTATTAAAAGAAAATTATAAATGGTGTTGAAAAACCAATCAAACGCTCGTGCGAAAGTTACTTTTGTGTGTTGCTAAAATTTATAAATGGCGATATTGATACAAGCAATGTATTCATGGGAGGATTTGATGTTAATTGCGATATTTAGGCAACGTGCGAGCTGCCAGATGCTTTTCCGCGTGGTTGGCTTTCAATAAATAGAATGAACAAATATTCGCAAATAAAAATGATTTATTTTATAACTGACAACTAACGTACAGTGACGAGCAAAACTGTAACATGGTGTAACACTTTTTACTTCAGCCATCGCTATCTTTCCAAGTTCTAACGACTTTCATCCTTTTGTTGTATATTCTTGTTGGTACATCCCTACTCCCTCTCTCACAACGATTTGAAGTTAATACAACAAAAATAAAAAAACCAGCAGACAAAAATGTAAATTAAGGCAGATGTTACAGTTTTGCACTCAATCTCAGTTTTGCATTTGACAGTTATCTCTTACTTAGTTGAAAGTCATATGACTTTTTTCTATATTGTAATTTATTGAAGAAGTGATCACCAGTAAATAACATAGTTAATCTGGAACCATAAATGTAAATAATAGATTTACTGCGGCAAGGTGGGACCGCACGAAAAGTGGCAAACAATTTTGGAATTTGCTACTTGAAAATGTTAAGACTGAGAAAAAATATAGCCTAAAGTGTTCCCAAGGACAAAGGAAGCCTGTCAAAAAATATTACGGTACGATATCTTGTGAACTTAGCAGCAAGTAGCGATGCAGTCACTATTACAGAAGCGCTTAAGGTATTAAACTTTAATGCAAATGAATAGACAGCGAGGTGAAGAATTGCCAAATTGAGCGCAAAGGCATCATAAAGAAGAAAAAAGCAAATTTGATCAAAATACATGTGCGAGTGTGGCAGCATTTCGCTGCATCGCACGAAAACCGAACCGTTGCCTATTGGGATATGTTAGGCCGTTCAGAATGCAATAAAAAACATTTTTAAATTCCAATTGAAGGTTATTTGGTCTGACAAGACTAAATTAATCGCTTTCAATCAGATGGCCGGGCATGGTATTGGGTCAAAGACCCAAATTAAGCCCATGCGCAGCATGTAAGGCAAACTGTGAATAACAGTGGTCGGTCAATAATAGTTTGGGGTTGTATTTCAAAAATTTTCTTAGTCTGTTAGTACACAATATGCGTAAGGAACAGTATCTGTTCATATTTCAACAAAATTTGCAAGATGTAGTCGAAAAAATGAGAGTTTCTGCTGAAAAATCACTCAAAACATACTGCATATGTTCGCAAAGCCTAGATACAAAAGCAAAAATTTGCTAATTTTAAATTACCTCCACAATCCGCGGACATGAATCTCATCGAGAATTTGCGAAATCAACTAAAAGCACAGCTTAATAAGTATCAAAGTCCGTAAAATCGAGTACATGAGCTGTGAAAGGAAACTAAGGATATACCTCCAGAATTTTTACAGAGATACAAATAAGCTATGCAAATCGCATCCAGGAACTGAAACAAGCAAAAGAGTACTGAACATTGTGTTAGTAGTTCTTTTTTTTCTTGAAAATTGTTAAAAAGTTCTTAAAAATATATGAGTGCGAAACTGTAACATCTGCCTTAATTTACATTTTTGTCTGCTGGTTTTTTTATTGTTGTTGTATTGAATTCAAATCATTATGACAGAGGGAGTAGGGATGTACCAACAAGAATATACAACAAAAGTATGGAAGTCGTTAGAACTTGGAAAGATAGCGATGGCTGAAGTAAAAAGTGTTACACCATGTTACAGTTTTGCCCGTCACTGTACGTTTTTGTTGCCAGAACGACAAGTTCGGACAAACGTGTGGGAGGCGGGAATAGGCGCGGGTTTTTGTCAATTGGCGTGCTTGTTTCGGGAAAAATTAATTTTTGTCGTAAGATTGATTTGGCGTTTGCGCATTGATTTTGGCAAACATGTCTGATCTTTCTTCTTTCAGTTAAAATTTATAAAATTTTCTAATATGAGGCATCTGTGCGCGACCTCTAAGGATTAGGATGAAAGTTGAAGAGATTGAAGGTCTAGGTGGTATGAATATACGTGCGCATATTTTGCCGATATGACGTAGGGTTGCCTATTTACAAGGGACTTGAAATTTAAGAAAACGTCATACATGCTTTTCTTTAAAGTGCTGTATCTTGGAAATCTTTTAACGAAACTGAATGAAAAAAGTATTTCTTTCGTCTTATTATGGGCTTTAATTAAAAAAATTTTTACATTAATGTGCAACGTATAAAAACAAAGAAAAAATTAAGTTAACATTTTTCTTTTTGATTTTAGTATTTTTTTAATTTTTTTTTTTACAAAAACATTGTCTATAATATGAACTTTAAGTACCCAAATGGGCGTAATGGGCTACTTAGGCGTATGGACTCTAGGATCGTCTAATGCTCCAGCAATATGATAAATAGACATTGAAATTTTATGAAATTGTATATTTCATGTGTGTGTAAAAAACAAAAACAATATGAATAAATCATATTAACTTTACTAAAGGTCTGAGATCATGAATATCCCTCAAGGAAATGGCAGAATTGAACTTTGTTTCAAGTTCACATGGGAAATCTGTTTGCGACGGGATTGGAGGAAATTTTAAGAGACTAGCAGCTAGAGCAAGTGTTAAACTCCTGACGTTACAACAAATTCGTACACCCGAAACCCTCTACCCTACTAAATGGTAGCAGCACGGAAAGTTGTGGAGAAGAAGAACCCGTTTACTTCCCGTTTTTCTGAGAATGAACTAAATTTTAATTGAAAATTCTTAAAAATAAATAAATAAACATAAGTGGCACACAATATCACTTTGAAATGGCGTGCTATAGATATGACCCATACTGTGTATGTGTAAAACCTACTTCCGTAATATTTGTCACTTTATCAAAGAACATTTAACAAAATCCTAAATAAAAATACTACGTATATGGGCAAATCTAAAAAACAGGTAGCCTTTGTTTTATTTAGCTTTATTTTCACTGTTGTAAACTATATCAAGCTGCTTGCTTTTGGATATAATTCATTGACGCATACTTGAAACCTCAAAAAAAATTTGGATCAATTTGCTGCATAACTTTTGAATTATAGGTGTTTAAATTTAATAAAATTAATGAAAACAAGTGAATTTTTTATGTAATTTTTAAGAGGGGCACAATTAATTATGTCATAACTTTTGAAGCACACCATATTCTGATTTGAAATTAAATGGGCATTTAGCACTTATGTGTACAATTCATATGTAGTAGGTAAGAAAAGTGTGCATTAAAAAATAACCAAATGTCTGTAACTCCACATTTCTCAATTTTCAAAATTTTCGGTTTATCGCGTATAAGTTTTGAAGCATTTAATTTTAAGAACTTTTAANTTTTTTTTTTTACAAAAACATTGTCTATAATATGAACTTTAAGTACCCAAATGGGCGTAATGGGCTACTTAGGCGTATGGACTCTAGGATCGTCTAATGCTCCAGCAATATGATAAATAGACATTGAAATTTTATGAAATTGTATATTTCATGTGTGTGTAAAAAACAAAAACAATATGAATAAATCATATTAACTTTACTAAAGGTCTGAGATCATGAATATCCCTCAAGGAAATGGCAGAATTGAACTTTGTTTCAAGTTCACATGGGAAATCTGTTTGCGACGGGATTGGAGGAAATTTTAAGAGACTAGCAGCTAGAGCAAGTGTTAAACTCCTGACGTTACAACAAATTCGTACACCCGAAACCCTCTACCCTACTAAATGGTAGCAGCACGGAAAGTTGTGGAGAAGAAGAACCCGTTTACTTCCCGTTTTTCTGAGAATGAACTAAATTTTAATTGAAAATTCTTAAAAATAAATAAATAAACATAAGTGGCACACAATATCACTTTGAAATGGCGTGCTATAGATATGACCCATACTGTGTATGTGTAAAACCTACTTCCGTAATATTTGTCACTTTATCAAAGAACATTTAACAAAATCCTAAATAAAAATACTACGTATATGGGCAAATCTAAAAAACAGGTAGCCTTTGTTTTATTTAGCTTTATTTTCACTGTTGTAAACTATATCAAGCTGCTTGCTTTTGGATATAATTCATTGACGCATACTTGAAACCTCAAAAAAAATTTGGATCAATTTGCTGCATAACTTTTGAATTATAGGTGTTTAAATTTAATAAAATTAATGAAAACAAGTGAATTTTTTATGTAATTTTTAAGAGGGGCACAATTAATTATGTCATAACTTTTGAAGCACACCATATTCTGATTTGAAATTAAATGGGCATTTAGCACTTATGTGTACAATTCATATGTAGTAGGTAAGAAAAGTGTGCATTAAAAAATAACCAAATGTCTGTAACTCCACATTTCTCAATTTTCAAAATTTTCGGTTTATCGCGTATAAGTTTTGAAGCATTTAATTTTAAGAACTTTTAAAATATGTATTGTATTCTACAAACAATTTACGAATAATTGATACCTTAGCAAGAGGTGTGCTTTCAGAATAAACAAACTTTTAAAGATAAAATATTCTGCGATCTTGAGCGTAGTTTTAATTCCAAAAACACCTTAATTGAAGGCACATTTTGAAAATACGTCGAAACGACCTAAATCTTTCTATAACTACTAGTCCTTATAAAATTACATATACCCGTAAAATGCTTCAAAAAATGTGTCTCTAGAAGTGTGAAAAAACCCTGATTCAATACTTTTAATGATGCTCCTTCTTTTAGGTCGGAATATTTCCAGCAAAGCAACTTTTTTTTTTTTCTTAACTGGAGCCTTCCAAATTCAATGGCGTCCTCAGTTTTACCCTATTGGCTCCACTTTTCAAGATAGCGGTACTTGGAACTTTGCTTAAATTTTAACTATTTTTTTAAAAAACTCCCTGAGTTTTGAAGATATTTTACTAAAATTTTGCACATAATCGTTTATTTTTTAATATTACCTTAACTATTTTATAAAATCATCGAAATCGGTTCAGTAAAACATCTTGCTCCCATACAACTGATTGATCAGAGACGTCAGCCTCATTGCGTAACTCGTAAATTAGGCTAAACTGTACGACTCGACAAAATCGGCGTTGTCGACTGTCGTGTTGAAGTAAGTAAACGACGAAAATCGTCGAAAACTATGCAGTGCTGCCAAGTTTTTCCGTTTTAAAACACTAGTAGAGAGGTCATGGTACAATAATTACAGGTATTTGGCTTTGCCTTTTGTTTTCGCTCAAGTTAATTTGCATAATTTTTCAAAACAAAAGAAAACATTTTTGAAATGAAGTGAGTCATACAAATTTTGAATTTATTTACAAGCAAATGTTTTTTTCCGGCTTTTGCAAATCAAATAAGTTTTCTGCAAGGTTTGTTAAAAAAAAATGCGTGTTCATCAGGGACCCCAACTCGTGGGGAATTCCCCCCGATTTGCGGAGAATTTCAGTTTGCGTGAGGAATCGGGGAATGGACCGTTTTTTGTGGGGAATTTCAGCTCGTTCAATTCTAGTATAATAAAGATTCAAATGACCAAATATTACCGTAGATTTTTTTAGAATTTGCTTTGTCGCATTTCCTTTCATATACCGAATAAGCATAATTTATTTTTATACGGAATCAAGCCACAAACCCTTCAGCAGGATATTCTAAAACGAAAATTCTTAGAAACTTGAAAAAAAGCTCGAAATTTTTACGACAATTTGTTGAGTTTTTTCAAATATTGCACAAAGTTTGAAACGTGGATTTATACAGTATTTGTTAAACAACGAACTATATTTTTATAAAAAATAACTCAAATTAAATAACAAAAAAAAAATATAAAAAAATTGTTTATTATTTATTTGTTAACTAACTTTATGAAAGTTTGGTTTGGTTTATGAATAAATACATACCCTGCCGGAACAAAGTATTGTCACAGCAAATTTTTTTCGACAATTTTGTATAAAAATACCAATTATCATTTAACAACAAAAACATAAAAATATAATTCCTTGAACTTTTTGCAAAACTCGCGAAAATTCAGCAAATTTATGTGTATGTAGTTTTGCAGCCCATTAAATTTTAGTAAAAGAATGCAAGTTCGGAGTTAGTCAAAAATCGCGTTGATTTTTGAGAATTTTATTTTTGTTGACGGTGTTTTGCATTTTTTCCATAAAATGTTTTTTCAAAAAAAAAAACTTGCATGGAAGAGACTGCGTGAAAAAAATTGCCAAAAATCAACAGTAATTCCTAGCTACTTAAAACTTGCACTTGCAAACAAAAAAATCCTGCAGTGTAGATGAATAGCATTCAAAAATACAAGTAATTTTTAAGCATTACTGTTGTAATATGAATTCGCCTTGTTTACAACAAACACATCTTTTTGACATTAAGAAGTACCGCGACGAAAATCTAAATTCGCCAGTAACACCACCTTGTATAAATTCGCCTTGGTCGGAGGTGTTAAAAATGATTCTCACAAATACGTGCTGTTGGTGGCAAAGACATGTGGCAAGCTAGTTCCCACGTTTTTTTTTTTTACATATTCGTCGTTCGGTACGATGAACACGTAGTCACCGCACTTCGCACTCTTACATAAAAAACACGTATGCGGCATTATTAGTTGTTTCGCTTTCTATATTCCTTTTTTGTTAATATTTTCCTCTGTTCACGATTTCAAAAAAATTAAAAATTCAAACTACCAAAAAGGGACAACAAATTTCAAAATTTTAACTAACACACTCAAGCAATTGTCATATATGGATATGTGAAAAATTAAATGTCATTACTTGGCGCACTGTATACATTGTGGTTCTTCTGAGAGCAATGTAAAATTCAATCACATTTTGTGCATGATACAAAAATTTTAAGGTAAACCCGCTGAGAGGTAGCCTGAACATTTTTGAAGTTCACTAACATAAGGCACTCCGCACATTAAGCGCCGAATCGTGGTAGTGTAATCGTTTCGGCCAAGGCGAATTTATACAAGGTGGTGTTGATGGCGAGTTTAGATTTTCGCCGCGGTACATATTAATGTCAAAATGATATGTTTGTTGTAAACAAGGCGAATTCATAATACAACAAACACATAATTTTGACATTAATAAGTACCGCGGCGAAAATCTAAATTCAGCATCAACACCACTTTGTATAAATTCGCCTTGGTTTCGGCATACTAAACTAAACTAATTTCAATGAAGCTCTGTACATTGCGATTCATAATCATGTTTTCGCCTAATAATAAAAGCTTCATGAATCGAAGCGACCAACTTTGTAAGGCACTTGCCCTTTTTGAAATCGTCATTTGTTTACTTTTTTGTGTTTGAAATAAAAATCATTTGTCATTTCTACAGGAAATAATTGAAAATAACCAATTTCATGCTAAAATTAGTGCAAATTGTATTAAGCCACAAGCATTTATGTAATATTTTGCTCCAAAATTTTTTGCGGAAGTGCGTAGTTAAAGAAGAACGTCCAGAAAAAGAGTTACGTGTAGAATGTGTTTATTAGCTGGTAACTTATGCAGGGCGCGCAAGTGTGCAGAAGTCGAGTAGTCATGCATTCGTTTCGCATTATGATGAAACGATTACTCGACTTTGATTAGGCGCGTAATGTGCGGAGGGCCTAACAAAAATCCCAACGGGACTTAAAGTGAGCTGCTCCCCAAAGGAGCAAGTACGGAGCAGTGCAAAAGCAAAGTAAAAGTAAATTTTTAAATTTCTAACAATGCTAGAAATAAATATCATTTTGAGCAGTTACATAAAATATTTTCTTTTGAAATGTTTTTATGTATATTTAATAAGTATGTAAGTTAGGGCGATTTTTTTGCGACTATTGTTTTTCTGCGCTCCTACCTCGAAATTTTGTAGAAAACACCTAAAAAACTCTTTGAAAATTTTAATCCTTTATATTATACACGTAAACTTTGAGTCTTTTTCTTAACAAGTCTACAACTCAGAGGCATTTTATGGTATAATCTTGGTCAATGATGGGTTTTCTTCAGAATTGAATACTCTACAAAAATTTCCATTTCAGTGTAATCCTAACTCCCGCCAGCGAAGTAGTACAGGTCACTAAACCCAATTTTTTTCATGAAATTCTCCTTTTTTTGCCCTTATCTCGAAAATAACAAGAGCTACAGAAAATATACAAATGACAAACTTGTAGGACTTTCAATTTTCTACAACAAAAATTCAAAGTCCAATATCTCAAGAAATGTGGATATTAGCGATTTGATTATACCATAAAATGCCTCTGAGTTGTAGACTTTTTAAGAAAAAAAACTCAAAGTTTACGTGTATTTTATATGGGAAATCTTTGTACGCCTTGGGCGCCGAGTACTTAATGTTAATATTAAGGGTTCAAATTTTCAGGGAGCTTTTTTTGAGGTGTTTTCTACAAAATTTTGAGGTAGGAGTGAAAAAAAACAATAGTCGCAAAAAAATCGCCCTGATGTATGTATACTATATAAAAGAAAAGAATCATGTTAATAAATACCAACATTACTTTATTAAAACAAAAATAGAATATGACAAATGAAAATTTGCTTGCGTCGCTTTTTAAATGCTTTAGTTGAAGCGCTCACCAAGGGCTTCTTTAGGAGCAGCAACGGAGCACTTCTTTCTAATGACACACAATGTTCAAAAATACAATGAAGTGCTTAGGAAGAGAGCGCTTACTGCTGATTATGGAGCGCTCCAATAGCCCTAATGGAGCGCTTCTTGTCCCGTTGGGATGTTTTAGAATTTTTAATCTCACAAATTCAGCCTCACTTTCAGTCTCAAATAAAAGAAAATTTGAATATTTTCATCTATTTGTTTTTTTTTGCCATTGACGATTGTTGCCTATTACTCGTGTTTTCATCAAGGTTCATAGAATACAAGGTTACGACATCAGCCATGGCCGTCAAAGTCAAAAAACTAACAATGGTTTTTACCGACTAAAACGCTAAACTAGACTTGAACAGTTATACAGAAAATGCTAGAAGAATATTGAGTTTAGTAAATTAGAAAACACATTCTTCAAATTGCAAGCAATTTAATTTTAAAATTTTACACACAAACTCACACAACTATTCTCATTTTCAATCTCAAACAACAAGAACTTTGAACGATTCCTTTTTTTTACTCTCAATTTTATATGATTTTAAAATGTTGGCAAACTTCAAAAAAAAAAAATCATGGCCGACGAATTGAGAGAACGGTTTTACCTTACTATGTTTTTATCATGGTTTTAACTTTAAATATGATATCATGAAAAGTTCTATAATCGGAAGATGCGCTCACCTTTCAGAAGTAATAAAAAATGTTAAAAAAAGAGTTTTAATGTTCATTTTGCTCGATTTATGGTTTCTGTTCTTCGATGGAGATGGGGATTTATCACGATTGCGTCATTTTTTTTAATATTTGAATACCGCAAAAATTAACTGAACTGGTATTTTTATTATGTATGTAGCCCATTTTGGTGGAACGAACTCGAAGTTGGAAAATAAAATCTTCAAATCCTTGTTAAGTACATATCAAAGCGTAAACTCTTTCAGGCTGTAAAGTGTAAAAAACAACAGTAGGTGAGTATGCATTGCATACTTTTAGGACAATCTCGCAATTAAACTTTTAAGAGCTCTCAAGAAAAACGAAATATTCATATAAAATGCCGCACAAGATATGGCAGGAAATTTTCTTATATCAAAATTTCTTAAATCAGTTTGCAGCTCTCAAGTATGGCCTTGGCTCTCAAGGAAAAAATGCTCGTATATTTCTTTCTTCAAGAAAATTTACAGCCAAAGTAAAATGGTTTTTCAAGCAACAGAAATAATAAAAATATTTCTTATGATTTTTCTTGAGAGCTGGATTCTAAGCTTTAAGATACAGTTTGTATTTGAGGCTATTAGCTTTAAGGGGGGATACAACCCCAAAACCCACACATTGCGTGCGCTAATGATATAGAGTATTCTATTATTTACTTAATGTATGGACAATACTTCCCAGAAGATAGAAGAAATTAAGGAACAACTTGCTGCACATGTAAGTATTTGTATGAGGTACGATGCACACAAAGCAGTTGAGCCACTCTGCTACCTTCATAGGCAACATTCATTTATAGAGCACTAAAGGAATGATTCGTTTGCTTGTGGATCGTGTTTTTTTTCAGTTTTGCTCAGGACGATTATCTTTACTACAATCGTAACCATGCCAGTGAGCAAAAGAATTGAAACGTGTCGTGTGTTTTTATTGCTCAGGAACAATATGAACAAAGGAACACGAACTTTTCGTACTTGTTGTGGAAATCCGGTTGTGATCCGATCGGTTTGTTTTCGTCAGAGAACGAAAATAACCGTCACCAAGTGTCTTGTATAGTTTTTACCACTGACACAAACACTCATCTCTCAAGCAAAGAGTATTTTGTGTTTTCCGTTGTGGGTTATTTATCAACTGCTAAAATTTGCCTTAGGCAAAGACACTTTGGCAGGCACTTTTATTTTTAAGTTTCTCCGCGCTCTAACACTTATTTTTCCTCTTCCAGCGATAAGCGTCCGTGCCCAACAGCAACGGAAAAAGATATGCAAACAACCCTTTCCCACTGAGAGGGGCACACATCTACAAAAAAAATAAACCACCTGTTCTGTTCTGTGGGTTATCTCTTAAATAACGACGGTTATTATGGGACATTTTCAAAGTGGAGAGGTATACTTTCGACCTCTGGTTTTCGTACTCTGGTTATAAAACAAATGGCGGGAACTACAATTTTACGCTGCCTCCGAATGGCAAATGGTTTTTAGAAGCTTTTTCAAGGCAGAAATAGACTGGGAGGTTTGCGACCGCTATTAGAAAAACAGTTTTTTGTAATTTATATAGATGTCAATCGGACTAGGGATCGAACCCAGGCGGGGGTATATGCCATTAGTGTGTGTGTAGAGATAAGCCTATTTACGGACTACCGTAGTGAGAAAATCCTAATTTTGAGTGATAGCCAGGCTACACTCAAGGCCCTCTCATCATTTGAGGTCAAATAACCATTAGTCCTTGAGTTCATTGACAAGCTTAACGCCCTGGTCGAAGGTAATGTTTTCGAACTAATTTTGGTACCAGGACACATAGGACTGCGGCCGCCTAGTCTCCTATAGGGTTTTATTTGCAATCGGACCTAGCACAATCAGTAAAGAGCTCAGGAAGGAGAGGAACAAACTCAGAGAACAAAAGGGGCGTAACACCGCAGGTCTACGTCCGGCTAAATGCTTTCTGGAACGTTGCAACCTTACAATGTCCAGGGCGATCATAAACCTCCCCAAAGAGAGAGAGAGATAATAAGGTGGAGCAATTAAAGTCTATTCTACGCCAAAATAATTTGCCAACAACAGGCTCAAAAGCAGAGCTCATTCAAAGGCTAAGTGAATTCATAGGTACAGACGAAATTGATGAAATAGAAGAGCCGCCGAATGAGAGCGGAACAATCAATTCAAGATCAATTAGACAACTACGAGCGATGATGAACACAATGATGAATGCTATTGCTGTAGCGCAGGTGCCTGTTGCACAGCCGCAGCGAACAGATATACAAACTTCGATGCAACAAACACCGACGACAACACAACAAATATCAGTTAATGACAATGAACATGTACGAACGAGAGCGAACACGAACAGCTTCAGTGAAAGAGATTGCCGAGACTCTGCCCGATTTCAATCCATATTCTGAAGATTCGGTTACTGTTGAGCAGTTTATTAATCGCGTGAACTGTGTGCTATCTGCTTACAACAATTGGGATGAAAAATGTATCATGTTAGCCGTGTACAGCAGAATGTGTGGTGTAGCAAAGATGTGGCTAGACTCTTCGCCAGTGTTGTTTGCCAATTGGAATGAATTCGCGAAATGTTTGAAAGAAGAATTCAGTTACGAAATGAACGAAGCAGACATAAACTATAAAATGTGTAATGCCAGTAGGAAAAATTACGAGAGTGTTACTGATTATTGTTTCCGTATATGCATGTTAGGTCGGCGATACAAGTTAAGCGACGCCGCTATTATTAAATATACGCGAGATGTGGTGCAGAAATTAACGAGTTCGAGAAAAACTTTAAAAAATCAGTAATTGTTAATGGAGAAACATTTATCGCCTTTCTCGATACGGGTAGTCAGTGTCACATGATTCGTAAATCTGTTGCAAACAAATTGCCAAATATTCGCGAAAATTGTGCAATATCAATTAATGGTATTTATGGCGGTACGCAAATGGCTAATGAAAAAATTACATACGTAGTAGAAATCGACGAGCTGGAACGTGAAATTGTTGCCTACATTGTAGACGGGTTACGAAAAACGATTGCGGCTGACCAATTTAAAACGCCAATGAAGTCCGCCAATTTTTAGGACTTAGCGGTTATTTCCGACGATTTGTTCCGGGTTATGCTATTTTATCTGAACCGTTAAGAAAACTTTTACGAAAAGACAGCGAATTTCATTGGGCAAATGAACAAGATATAGCTTTTAATCGTCTTAAAGGCATACTCACATCTCAACCTGTAATGGTATCGTACAACGCGAGCGCAGAGCATGAAATTCATACTGATGCCAGTACGATTGGATTAGCAGCCGTGCTTTTACAAAATGAAGGTGGTAGTTGAAAACGCGTACTCTACTATAGCCGATCAACTAGCGACGATGAAAGAAAGTACTATAGCTATGAATTGGAGACGTTAGCGATTGTGGAAGCTCTTGAACGTATGCGATATTATGTTTATGGTAAGCGAGTAAAGGTAGTCACAGATTGCAACGCGATTAGCACTGTGATGCAAAAACGCGAACTTATACCACGAATAGCCAGATGATGGCTGAAAGTCCAAGACCTTGACATCGTTATTGAACATCGTGCCGGAAGACGAATGGAGCACGTAGATGCGCTAAGCCGAGCTCGAGCTGAGTGCGCCTCTGAAGTTGAGACAGCCTCATTACGCATAATGAAAACGAATATTACAAATGACGATTGGCTTTTTGCAATGCAGTTAAGCGACGAACGTATCAAAAATATCATCGAAAAGGTAAACGTGGACGACTCTTCAGTGAAGGAGTACAACGTTGAGAAAGACAGGTTGTATCGTATCGTCCACAAAAAGAAACTTTGGGTTGTTCCTAAAGCACTTCGATGGTGCGTGGTTTATGACAGCCGTGACAAGGCCGGACATCTAGGTGTTGATAAGACGATCGACCGTATCCAGAACTTCCTTTTGTTCCCACGAATGCGAAATTTTGTAAAGGCATACATCAAATCTTGCGTCGATTGTGCCGGCAACAAAATCCCGACAGGAAAGAAAGAAGGATGACATGGAGCCCATTCCATTTAAAACGATCCATTTAGATCATCTTGGTCCTTTTCCGAAAAGTTCCCGTAGGAACGAGCACATATTGGTCTTGGTTGATTCGTTCACCAAATTTACGATAATTCGCGCCGCCAAGAGTACTGCGACTAAACACGTGCTAGCAGTCCTTCACGAAGTAATCAGCTACATTGGAGTCCCTCAACGCTTCGTAACGGATCGTGGAACATCATTCACATCCAAAGAATTTGCTAAATACTGTAAAGACTACGACATTAAGCATATTCAAAACGCTGTTCGCACGCCACGAGCGAATGATCACGCCGAACGAACTAACAGAACTTTGTTAAGCATGCTCCGAACGACGACGCAATCAGAGAAGAAATGGGACGACAAACTACGTGATATCCAATGGGTTATCAACACAACGCGCAACCAAACGGCAGGTCAAACCCCATATGAGTTGGTGTATTCATTCAAGCCGCGCGATATACTTAAAAACAAACTAACAACGATTCTACACGACGGTAACTCACAAGACGTTGATATCAGTGATCTACGACACACCGCCGCGGATCGAGTTACGCAACAACGAGAGAAGGCCAAAATACGTTTCGACCAAAAACATACTGCGCCAACGCAATACAAAGTCGGTGACTTGGTCTTAGCCGAGAACGAACCAGCCAGCACGGGCGAATCACGAAAGTTGGAGCCACGTTACAAAGGCACCTTCGTTATTAGCAAAGCCCTTGATCGAGATCGATACGTCATAACTGATCTTCCAGACTCCTCACGCAAATAATGTCATTACACGTCTATATACGCTTCAGATAAGCTTCGACCGTGGTGCAATCTGCCAGCTCTCAACGAACAACAAATTAACGAGGGTGGCATAAGTACCGATGACGAAGACAATTTATCAACTTATATTGATTTAGCAGTGGCCCAATCTCCCCGGGGTCAGCCTGGTTTAGATGGTCACACTAGTTTGCTTCTGGTGGGAAGTTGGGTAGGAGCCTCTGTGACGACCNACGGACAGTCGGGTACTTTGCGTTTTTGTGTTTGTGGTTGAGGAAAATTATTTTTTTTTACTGTTTCTGAAGCTTAGTTACACTCAAGTTTTGATTGTTGGTAGGTACTTCAAAATTCTATTATTTTCAACTTTAAAGCATTTGACTCTAGTTGCTATTCATGTCTACATTTTCTTTTCAGCGTCGTTGCCCAACGGCAACCCAATTGAGGTTGCGTGGCTAACCATTATCGACCCACAAGCTAGGCCTGTTCGAAACACGTAATGAAAGCGGCAATACTGCAACATTGATGAAAATTTTCAATACTTTTGCAAATTCCCAACTGATAAAACGTTGCTAGAAATTTACACACAACGTGATACTTTAATAATTCGCGCAACGCTGCAATTGTGATTGCATCTCGAACAAGCCCCTACAACTGCAGCTGCTGCTACCACTCTAATAATAAATATTTTTCAAACCGGTTCAAATATTAAACTATTGAAAATGTAACGAAATTCGCATACAATTTTCTTTATGCTGGAAATTTAAAGGACTGTCGAAAAAAGCTACAAAAAGGAAGACTACTCACCTGCACTCTCAGAGGATGTATCATTAAGAGTGGCAATATGTACGACCTTGTGGGCAACACTTCCGACAGAGACATTCCCATTTTGGTAACAGCTTGACACAGAAATGCTGCCAAGTAACGATGAAGTGGAAAATGAAAGGAAGCTTGCATCATTTCGTCCTGTTTAAAAAATAGATATGTAGCAATATCAAACTAATAATTGGTCTTAAGTATGTATTGAAAAAGCATGCTTTAGAATTACAGCGCGGTATATATGTATATCAAAAATTGCTTATTTGTTTACCAGCGGTGTTCTGCTGTGCATTGACCAAAAATAATATTAATAGTACATACCGGCGATAGTTTTGGTTCCAAAAAGTAAATGGCATCCAACCATTCATGCAGAGTATTAACGCAATACGTAATTATCTTCTTGGCTAAATGCGCATGAGTGCCGTCCTGCAGATGCGATATTATGGACCACATGGGATAAGCGCTTGCCTCCAATTCACACGAGAAGGCGGCGTAATAAGAATTAGGTTCGAACTCCACATGGGACGTTGTCTCTCGCACATTTACATTCATGCCTTGCAGCATTGAAAGAAACTGAAACCACATATCGATCAAATTGTCATCACGCAAAAATACTAGGGCCACTGATTCATGTGAGAGTACATTGTTAAAGTCAGACACTAAAGGCCAGTAGCAATGATCCTTCATCACTTGGCGTGTACAATCAATTACGAAATGGAAATTCTTGTTCGGGTCTATAGAGAAGAACTTACAGTTATTATAACTATCTGCAATTTGAATCGTACGCACTTACCATGTAATGTATTTTGTATGAGTATCTTTGACATCATTAGCTTAAGACTGATTATCATTACATGCAGTAAGGACAGTTCTTTAACCATCTTCAAAGCTAAGCTTTCATTGGAAAACAGTTGAACGCTCATGTGCACAACTCGGTTACTAAGTGTATCTGGATCGCGTGACATTTCCAATACGGACGGTATGCGGCTATAGTGCATCACGAAAGTACGAGTAAGATGCTCCTAGATATTTGAGAAAAATAAATTCTTAATTTTAGACTTTTTGCATGTAAAAACCCTATTAAATCCAATAACTCATCTGCAAAAAATATTTTCAGTTTATGCTCAAATTTTTAAATCTTATTAAAAAGTTTAAACTTTTAGTGCAATTATGTTGCAATGATCTAATTTTCGCAAAGAGTTCGAAATTAAATGAAATCTTTAAATTAAAATCAATTAAATTTGTCGCTGTATAGTGTGTAAGAAAATGTACAATTTCTAGATTATTTAATAAATAAATATATATGTACATATGTATGTAAAGAAAACACATTTTTTTTATTACCTTATAATCTTGATCGGGCAGCATGTTAAGCAAAAAGCAAACCAAGTTTTGAGGGAATTCAAATTTGAATGTCCAAAAAATGAATTCTTCCAAAAGAGTTGTATGGACGAGCTTTTCTCCTAAAGCAGGCAGGTGCTTATAATCGTCGGGCGGTTCAGGACGGGGAAATCGGTTTACAGCTTCTTCATACTTCTCGCGATTCGACTTTAAAAATCTTCCATGCCGTGTATCCAAGCAGGGAGATTCCGTAAAAGATTTGTAGACCTAAAAAAGAGAGTATAAGAAACGGGACATACACAGGTGGTCCGATAATTAGACGATATTCTTTTACAACCAGTGTAGTATGTACAAAAGTACCAAGCATTTGGCATTACTCACATCAGGATTTATGAGGGCACGTGTCATCACTTTGCGCATTATTTCGCCCATGTTGTTAAGATCGATCAACATATTTGCAAACTCTTCGCATGAATAAGCGGCCAAATTATACGTTTGTGATGTGGCATCACTGTGTTCCCGGAAGTGCTGCAGTAATCGAAAAAGTAATTTTGGCATTATAGCTTCTGCCACGGCGAGTAAATTAGAGGGCACGGGCTCTTTGTTGGCCCTATTGTTTATGCCGTGGTCACTGCAGAAACCCTCTGCTTTCATCACAGATGTATCGCCACAATCACAGGCGCCGCCAGCCTGAGACAAGAACATGTTGAAGTCGTGATTGGTATGATCGCCCTTCTTGAAGCAGTCGCGGCAAATGGACATACATGGTGAAATGCCGCATGTACGACACCGATACGCCACTACATGTGGTACCCATACCAGACCACATTTTGCGTGATTATCATAGCTGCGTACTGTTACGAAAATACAAATACCAAATGTTCTATGAGCAAACCAAATTTCTGTAACATTTAATGGCGTTATTCAATACTAAAATTTTAAATTATTCTATTAAACTCTACATTAGTATAGGGTGTATTCAAAATACAAAGCATCAGATTTATTTCCAAACCGAGCTAGAAGAAAAAAAAAGTGTAGATAACTAGCATCTAACCGTGGTTGTGCCCATTTGGCATTACAATCTACTTAGGACTAGCAATAAAAGTGACTGATGCGTTGTATTTGCAAAGTGTCCACATAAACCTATTGGTGCATAAGGTTATATAATGCTAATGGCAGATAAATTTGTTTCCAGAGGCCTCCACCTTACACACATGAGAGTAAGGTGGAGGCCTCTGGAAACAAATTTATCTGCCATTAGCATTATATAACCTTATG